TGCTCCAGGTGGGGGCTGGCACTTTGACACAACACACCAGGAAGACGGATGTGATTTAAGGCAAATTTTAATAGATTTATAAAAATCATATATACAAAACATGTTAAACTAACCACCGTGGCTATAAAATACATTTTGTACACTTTTATGTATTTTAAGCTAGTACACAGTATTCATAAACTGAGACGGATCACAGCACAACAGGCCCTGCCACAGGTGGCTGGGGCGCTGCAGCGACACTTCCGTGGGAGGTGCCCGTGCCAGAGCCCCCCCCTTCCTTTCAGTATTTCCGACCCTGGAGGAGTCGAGGCTGTTTCTGTCCTGAATGCTCAGGTGCCACCTCAACCACGTCCCTGCGGCAGGGTCCCCCAAGTTGCCTTGGCAGCCTGTGCTCCTGCGCCACGTGGGCACCGAGCGGAAGCGGGGGAGGGCGAGTTCAGGACGGTGATGATGGACGAGGGCTGAGCATGTGAACGCCGAACTTCCTGGCTACGCTTGCAGCAACAGAGCAACCTGCCAATCCATTGTAGTTGGTTTGAAGGGAGTTAAGGAAAAGGACACTTTGAATATTTTAAATCAATTTGCGTAACAGGTCCAAAAGTAATTCTTCAAGATTCTAGAGACTGACGGACGAAATAGAGATCTATTTAAAATGTTTCATACATAGGCTTATTGAAGAACATAACAGGGCCAGGCACGGTGGCTCACACCTGTAATCCTAGTGATTTGGGAGGCCAAGGCAGGAGGATTGCTTGAGGCTAGCAGTTCAAAACTAGCCTGGGCAACATAGTGAGACTCTATAAAAATTAAAAAAAAAAAAAAAATTAGCTGGGCATGGTGGCGCGCACCTGTAGTCCTACCTACTTGGGAGGCTGAGGTGGGAGGATTGCTTGAGCCCAGGAGTTCAAGGTTACAAAAAGCTAAGATGACGCCACTGCACTCCAGCCTGGGTGACAGAGACCCCATCTCTTAAAAAAAAAAAAAAAAAAAAAAAAAAAAAAAGAATCTAACAGGTTGACTCATAGCAGGAAAGTGTGACGGAGCAATGGCCCGAGGTGTCTCGGGCTGCATGTGGCTCTTCTGCAGACACTCACTATCAGGTGGGCAAGAGGTTCTGCCCACCCACGTGCCGGTGAATGTGGAAAACGTACCCAGGTTTGTCCAGACTGCTTGAGTGAGTAGGACAGCTGCGAAGAAATGACTTTACTAGTTTGATTTTCAGACACAAGTCTGGTTTGGTTTTTGACATCTGAGTTCCAAAGTCTTAGGTGACTGAGCTTCCTCTGCCCACCGTTTGAACTGACCTTGCGAGGACACGTGGGACGGACGTAGGCGCTGAAGCCCTCCTGCATCCTCCCAAGGCTTTGGAGGGCCCACAGGAGCCAGCTGTTGGATGGAGAAGGGGACCCCACCGTCTGGGGGGCTGGCACAGCCCATGGTGTGACATCCAGCAACCTGCATGCCACCTTGAAGCTCCCCCAGACTCTGGGGGACAGTTCAGATCAGCTTCAACCTCACTTCTGGGTAGAGACTGAAATCTCAGACAGCAACAACGGGGCCGGGCACTGGGGCCGTTCCTAGCAACCCTGCTCTCAGTTCCTCCTTCCCGACTGGAGCTGGTCCCAGAGAACAGCACAAGTGGGTGTGGAGGACACGTTTACATCCCACCCAGAGAGGGTTGTGCTCTTGATGGCCTGCGTGTCTGACCCTATGGAGATAAACTTTTCCTTGTCTTGACTTCTGGTCACATTTACCAGATGGGATCTGGGGTCCAAGCCAGCCTGGGCTGACAAGCTGGGCAAGGCTGCACTCTGAAACCCATCAGGAAAATGTGGTTCCACAGGGAAACTCTACCTTGACTATGAATAGCTGGAGTCATGCTCACTTGGGGGACATACATCAGCTTTCAAAAACACAAAACAAAGTGAGTTCATTGTTAATAAAAGGGCGCCCAAGTGACAGGCTGGAACAATAGCCCTTCACTGTCACAGCAGGAGCAGGCTAGGGATGGGCAGCCCTTCCACCACCCGCCCTGCCTGCCCTGCTCACCCGAGGCCAGGCTGTCCCAGGCTGGTAGGAAACTCATGCTCTTTAGGACCCCAGAGTGGCTTCCCTAGCATTCTGCTTTGGTTTGTGTTACACACGTGTAGAAAGAAAACCACCTGAAGAGAAAAACTACCTTGTACGGCCAGCTTGAGAACAGAGCACCTCATTTCCAGGCTGATCTAAGTCTCCACTTTACTGTGAAGTGAGCAACAGAGCCACACTCCAGTGTAACTCCTAGAACCTGCGTGATGCAGATGCTAAGTCTGTGGGGCTCTCAAAGCTAGGGCCTTGCAACAACAGCAAGTTCAGAGGAGTGAGTTTCCAAAGGCCACCCTGTTCTTCGCCACACCATACCCTAGTCAGCTAGCAGAGAGGCGCGGTGGCCCTGACGTGTAGCCTGCTTTGCTGGGCAGGAGCCCTGGTCTGTTTCTGAGTAGTATCCAGTTTCCTACCGCCCACTACACATGGACACCAATTCCCAGGAACATCCACCTTGCTAGGACATCTGACCACTCACTTATTTCTAGTAATATCCCACTTCTTCCTGTGGTGTTGTGGGATTGCATCCTATGAATAGGAAATTCGAATGCTGAGAAACGCTCAACTCTCCAAGGGACTGGTTCAGCAAGATGTGGGTTACACGCTGCCCCATGCCCACCAAGCACAGCTCTTCCTGGAGCCCTGAGGTCCTCGGGGCTCACGGCTTGGAGGTGTGGTCACGACCTTCCCTCAGCAGACCTACCCATCACAGGAGTCCATTCGAGTATCAGACACAGCTGGAGAACGTGCCAGACAGACCCTGAAAAGTGGGACCCCAGAAGCAGGATTGGCACACCCGCATCTCACAGGCTCTGCTCTACCCGAAGCTACTCAAACTTCAGACCGCACCTTCCTTTGGACACAAGGGCAAACCAGCCTGTCATCTGCTGCCAAGGCCTGTTTGCATGTCGGTTTTAGCTTCTGAACAGGCAGAACTGAACCAAATGGGTCCTTTCTTGGGGAACCCAAAATACTTTCCTCTTCAGGGTCCAACATGATGCCTCACAAAAGGAGCACGAGATTCAAAGGCCAAAGTCACTATAACCACCCTCCCAGTCCATGTTGTGTCACTTTCCTCTCCTCTGGTGCCATCTGTTTACAGGCATCCAGCCCTCCAAGTGGCAGACCTAGTGACGGCTCTCGGACCAGGGCAAGCTCCCCTAAATGCCAAGACATCAGGGAAACCCAAGGATTACATATTTAAGGACCACCTCTTCCTTGATCTGACATGCAAATTAAATAAGCTTTCAAATAGTCTTTTTCTTCAAGTTTCCTAAATTTCAGGGAATCACTTCAGAATGAGCCTGCTAAGCATATCTGATGTACCTTACAGAGAAAATGGCACCAAAAGATCTGGAAGGGCGACAGGCACATTGTGAAAGGATTTTTGGCAAGGACTTCCTCTTAAGTAGCCAAGGAAAGCTCACTGTAACTGCATTTCCTCGAGGCATGTGGCTGGTCACGGTGAGGGGAAGAGCTAGTGGCTCATTACCTGGAAAGATACAGTTCTCCTCCTGCTGAACACGGAACCCTTCAAAGCTAGCAGGCACCTCCGAGAATGTCTACTTCAGTGGCTTGCAATCTGGGCTGTACATGGGAATCACCTGGGACATTACATTAGAAGGTCTGGGTGTATGCTGTTCATATCTGCTAGGGCCTGGGCAGCTCAGCACAGGCCTGGGTAAAAGCCCCCCAGGTGATCTGTGTCCCCAGAGCTGAGAATTGCCATGCTGTCCAACTTTGAGAAATGAAGAAATCAAAGAGCTCAGCCCACAGCCACATAGACAGTCAAGACATAGTGTGCTCACGGCTGGCATTTTTCTGGAGAGGTTTCTGCCTTTCCTGTGGTCAGTTCTAGCCCCCACCGGCCACACACAGGCAATGGCACTGAACAACATCCACACTCCTCTTTCTAGAAACCTGCTTGTTTGGGAAAGAGAGGAGATGCCCAGTTGTGCAGAAGACCCAGCTATAGCAGAATCCCGAGCACAAGAAAGCCCTGATCACAAACCATGCTGATGACGGGAAAGCATTCATGCTTCGTGTCAGTGGTCTTCTTGTTCTGGCTGGACCAATAATCCCTGGGGGTGGCAATGACAGAACTTCCACCCAACCATTCCCTGGGGCTCCTCTAGTCTCTGGACCATGTCAAGTGTCAACCACCAGGTCCTTCCCCTTGGGACTTCCCGGTTTTAGGCAGCAGGGCTTCTCGCTCTCACACATACGTACAGGCGTGTCTTGATGTGTATACACTATTCCAAGCTTTGAAGATGTGTTCCAGTGGCTTTCATTCAAAACCCATTTATGATGGTTCTCCTCATGCAGGATTTATTTGATATGTGGGAATAAAAACTGTGATTAACATATAATGAACCACCTTCAAATAAAATTAGGATTATAGTTATTTGCTCTGAATTTCTGGAAATGAAAAATTAATTTAGTGTTGATTTTAATATTTTATATTAAGAGAAACTAAGAATTTATTTTAATAAACATAAAAAGACTGAAGGTGGTCACATCTTCAACCAGACCTCCCAGTCCATGCTAACTAACGCTGTGTGCAAAGGGCAACCACGTGCGACTGACCCGGACGACTATCAATCTGACGAGAGGCTTTTACCTTGCGACACCGAGTCCATACACGTCTGTTCCCAGCACCCCCAAGTCAGTCATAACTAATAATCTTGTTTCAAGATTATTTTTTTGATCTTGGAGGTAAAATAGTCTGACTCACTTTTATGAAAGAAGTAGAAAAACTAAAAGAGTAAGAATTCTAGAGATCTCTATAAATTACAGAGCTATGACTCAAAATCTCTGAAACAATTTCTCTAACAAACAGAAGAGTTAAAAATATATTTCAGTAAAAAAACCTACATGTGTTCTTATGTGTAAACAGTATAACTATGAGGAAAATATCTTATTTTTGAGGAAGTTTATTGTTACATTTTTGCAATAATAGATGAGGCACAACTACCTCCTGCTTTTCCAACATCTCAATTAAAAAAGACAACAATCAAGGATTAACAGTGAAATTAAAATAAAAAAAATACAAAAAGCCTAAGGTTTTGGAGGAAAAAAATGACTATAATCTTTGTATAGAAAAGTTGTAAATAATTTCGGTTTCGCCTTGCAAGTAGTTATGGTCTCCAATTACAACACATTACGTAATTTACAGTGGGGCGTCTTTAAAGGCGTTCTGATTCGCTCTGGTCCTGGGGAAGAGGCGGCAGTCCACGCTCAGCAAAGCCAAGTGCACGACCAGGCGGTGGGGTCAGGGGCTGAGCTGGTCCTGGGCCCCCGCCTTCGGGCCATCCCACCCCACTTCCTGCTGACACAGAAGTCGTGGTATCTCATTACTCTCATGCTTCCAGGTTTGCAAGTGACTCGTAAATATACCCAACTGCTTAAGGGAAAAAAGCCCTTGCTGACAAGAGCTTTTGGGATAGTGTTTCAAATGATTCCCCCAGTTACGGTGGCAGTGATCTCCAACTAAACCGTGAAGAGGATTTCCAAGTTGGTGGGGAACAGTGGTTGCCCTTCCTCTGGGCCACGGATCCTGACAAACGTGATACAGAAAACTGACCTGGGCAAGCGAAGCCCACCTCACTGTGGACCAGGGGGCTCTCACTGTTGCAAACTGGAAATGTGATCTGAGACCAGGCTGGTGAACCCTGCCAAGAGCAAGCTTTTTCCTTCAAAACGCGGTCATCGGCACTGATCCCGGTCACATCCTTTCAGTTTGTGAAGAGCCACAGGAAGCAGTACAAAAACAGCAACTTTTTTTTTCCAGCCAAAAAAAGAGCTCAAAGCCCAGCAAACATTGACACAAACCCCCAAGCACCAAAAGAGAAAGAGAATTCCATGTTGTCTCCTAATTAAAACACTGTGATAACAAGGATGACTCAGCAGCAGGTTTTTGTCCTCCCTCTTCTGGTTCCGCATCTGCCCCAAGATTCATGTTTCTCTGGCTTGCTGGAAACAAGCTGAGAGTGAGACACAAAAGGGGACAGGGTGGGGACAGTGTGGCATCAGGACAAGGCCCTGGGTGTGTTATTAAGCCATAGCAACACTTAGGTGCTGGTTAAGAGGAAGCTTTTCCTTCTCTCTTGAATGCTAGAAGTCCCCCCAAAATACTAGACAGGCTTTTCTAGTAGAGTAATGCACAGAGGGGACCAGTGTGGAAGGCAATGTATTTTTAAACACAGTGAAAGACACCTGGCAGGTAACTGGACGAGTCGACTGAGCTTATGATTTACCAGCTCACGCCAACATGCTCAGCCTTCTGTGGGTTCCTCCCACGAGAGCTGTATCTGGTAGTTTACTGTTCTGTGTGCACAGCAATAGAAGCAAGAGCCCTTGGTAAGAATCAGACTTAAAGGGGAGCCGAGAACAGGGACTGGCTGTCCAAAGGCACTGGTGTAGCGGCAGTTTGGAGAAACTCAGATTTCTTTAGTTGGTGGGCTTCCAGAAAGGTCAGCTGTTAGGAACTCGCCAAGCAGCTGTGGCGTTAACAAAAGCTTTGCTAGTAGTCTTGCCAGCTTTCACAAGCCCCAGAAGAGAAGATGAAACTCTCCACTACTTCCAAAAGGAGGAAAAGCTACATGCTCTCAACTGTGGTGTCAGAAGATGACTCGCAAGTAAGACGGCAAAGTCATCTGCAAGGCTACTTGGTTTATGTGTCTTTGCACTGGGCAGGGCGAGGGGAAGGGAGGTAAGAAGTGAAAAGCACCACTGTGTGCAGACAGATAGGGCCACATTCACTGCCAGCATCCCACGTCCACTCCTCGCCGTGCTGCTGGGCAGTCTGGGAAGGCAGGAGGAGCTGAGTGTGCTATCGGGCATTAAGGCCAGTTCACACCTTCGAAACTCCCAATCCTGTCCTCAAAGCTGGGAGGGGGATCCTTGGCACGGCTCCTCGGCTCAATCTAATAGGCTTGGATTAGGGTCTCTTAGGAAATTGGCACAAGAGTTTTAAAAGGCAACATGTTTACTTTGGGAAGTGGCATTTGGACGCTGGGGCTGCGGGGCCAGGCCTGGGCACTCAGAGTTTAGCAGCATCGGCGTGCATTTGATCTCCACAAGCTACAACTAGGCAAAGCTTTCATGTTAGTTTGTCTCAGCGAAAAAATGCAAGTTAGAGAGAAAAGCCATCTGCAAGGCCAGCTGGTTTTTGTGTTTCTGTCATTAAGGAGAGCATGTGCATGCACATACCCACACACTCTTCAATTAAATTGTGTCAGAAAGAATGACATTTCTGTAAAAAGAAAGAAAGCTGTGTTATTAGGTATTCCACATTAATACCAAAGTGAGCACTTGGATTTTCAGTAGTTTCACTTGTCCCCAGGATTCAGTAGCTAACATCAAAGTTTCCGTGTCTGTTTGCCTAGAGCTTGTTGGCCTGGCTGGTTTTACAACATTCTCGAGCTAGGTGGCGTGAATCCGAGAACCCACTCCAGAACCATGCAGGTAAGACACACCAAAGAGATCTGACCAACAGCCGTGGAGGCTGCTCAAGGACGGCGACAGAGGGCTTTCCCTTCACTGCAACATGATATCTTTCAGGTTCTCCTGCAAGATGGTGTCCTTCACAGCATGAAACACGAAGCGGATGTTCTCAGTGTCTATGGCGGTGGTGAAGTGGTGGAACAGCGGCTTACTGCGATTCCGTCTCTTCCTGTCAAAACACTGGACCAAGTAGCGCTGCACATCCTCCAGCCTGTGCGGGTCGCCTCTGAAATCTGGGAAGTGCTTCTGGATGCTGACTGTCTTCACTTTCTCCACCAGGAGGTCCGTCTTGTTGAGGAACAGGATTATGGAGACGTTGAAGAAGAGCTTGTTGTTGACTATTGTCTCAAAGATGTTCATCGATTCCACCAGCCGGTTGGTGCGCCTGTCCTCCATGAGGACCTGGTCGTACTCACTGGATGACACCATGAATAGGATCGATGTGATCCCATCAAAGCACTGGAACCACTTTTGGCGCTGAGACCGCTGGCCGCCCACATCCACCATCTTAAAAGGGATTTTTTTAATGACGAAGTCATGTTCCACAATTCCCTTGGTGGCTTTCCTTGCCAGCAGGATGTCTTGCTTACTAGGAAAGTAATTCTGTAAAAAATAGGATAAGGGAGAAAGAAAACGAGAAAATAAGAGCAAAAAGATGGTGAAAAGATAGGACAGAGGGAAGGGGTTAGACTGACTTTTGTAAGAAGTTGAACCAAACACCAAAAGCGAAGTTCATTTACAAAATTATACATTTACCGTGAAATGGAAAGTGAAAGAATTAAATACTTCACTTCAAAATGAATGGAGGCTCCTTAATCTGAGGAATAATGACCAGAATGGTCACTATCAGTCCCCAGTATAACACCACATCATTTTCTTCTCCAGAGGAAATTCATCATCTTTTTTGTTTCAATACCACAGACACAGACCTTTTCATTTTTCTAGCTTCCAGAGCATACACATTCCAAAACCTTACTATGAACTAATTTAGGCTTTGCAATGCTATTTAAAAATTTAGTCTGCAATATATTTTATATGTTATTCTTGGAAACCTCTTAAAGTCTTTAGCAACACACAGGCAACTGCAGTAACTCTTACACCACTCTGATTTTGCACTATTACAAATGCCCCGTGACTAGTGCACACAGCCACTCGGGGGGCAGTCTCACCAAGAACCAAGCAGGGATATGACCAGGCCTCAGTCTACAGGGCTAACTACCAACCGCAGGGTGTGGCGGGTGTGTAGGGACAGAGAAACATCTTCAGTAACACTGCAGGGGCAGAGTAGCAAAATCCAGACTGTAGGAAACCCCACAGGATACATGATTCAGTTACTCCAATAAATAAATTGAAAGAAAATACAAGATGGAGGGAGAAAGCTATAGCTTAAAAGAAATGTGAGTGACATAGACCATCACAATGTGTGGACCTTATTAGGACCTAGGTGGATTCAAACGGCTAAAATGAACCAACATCTATAAGAAGACATTAATGAGACAACTGGGAAAAACCTCAAAACTACTTTGCTAATATTTTAGGAGCGATATAGTATCATGGTTATGATGTTTAGAGTCTTATCTTTTAGAGATACACTCTATAATATTACTGATGATATGATGGCTTGGTTGCTGGAGGTGGGGGTAGGGCAGATGAAACAAGATTGGTCATGAGTGATATGATAACTGTTCATGAACTGGTCATGAATGATAACTGTTGCACCTGCGGTTTCATCATACTATTTATTTTGTATATGCTTAAATTTGCCATGAGAAAAAGTTAAAGGAAACAAAACTCTGCTTTCACTAAAGAACTCGACTGTCTCCTTCGTGGTGATCTGGGCGAAGTCATTCCTATGGACAATTTTCCCCCTCCACCCAAAGACAAAATCCAGGTCTAAGGGAGAGCACTATGACATTACACTACTGTTCATGTTAATCTCAAATAAGGCCCCTAAGTACAGCCAAAGCCCTTACTACTTGGATTGCTTTAGTCTGAACACAGATGTTTTCTAATGCTGGATCACAGATTCTCAGGGTGGGGGGGTCTTTACTCACCAGCTGACCGATCCGGTCCAAGTTATCCAAGAAGTACTTCACTGATTCACCCTGTCAGGAAGAAGAAACAGTCACAACTCAGTCTTGATTGAAGCAACAGAAGAATTTAACAGGTTAACAAATGTTATTTTGCCTCTGTGTAAACAGGAAAAATAAGTGAAAAGACTAAGAGTGTACATGTATTTTGAAAATTAAAAACACAATTTAAAAACATTTTTAAAATGCAATTTCTCTAGCTCCAACCCCAAGATTCAAATTCAGATGGTGTTTTTCAAAGTTCCCCTGCTGGATTCTGGTGCTTGGCGGGACGCTGGCCCCGCGGCCAGGCTAACCTCTTCCTGTCCAGAGATGGAGATCGCCGGCCCACTTCCGGCCACGCCACCAGGGAGGGATGGGACAAGAACTGGGATTTTAAATTGCAGTTCCTGTGCATAGTATTGCTTCTGACAAAGACAGACAGTATTGCTTCTGACAAAGATAATGTCTGATGGACCCAAGACATTATCTTTAAAGACAGTAAATTTTGCAGGGAAGGAGCACACAACATGTTAGTTTCTAGAAATACTCCATTATTACTTCGCACATTCTAATGACCTGATTTATGATACAGAACAAGGGAGAATCTTTAATTTGGATTTCTGTGGTGGAATGACAAATGTTGCTTCTGGACTGAACGTCAATACAAACTGAGACGTGTTCCGTAGCTAGACGTGCACCTTTAGAATCACTCACGGTCCTGTTTTAGGAAGTGTCAAATGCAATGGCACACACATGGCGAGTGAGAGGAGCTTAGAGGGCATTAAACATTAACTCAGATGAAGCAACACAGAGGAAGTAGTCAGTGAACAGGCACGTACAAGATTCCCTTAGAAAGCAGCATGTTGAGAATTAATTCTACCACATATACACAGAGGATGTGGCTTTCTGAAAGATTTCACTCTGAGCCTGGCTCTGGAAGACAGCTACACGGAGGCCATGCAGGTCCACATGCTACCTCATGTCAGGGTCTGTGGGAAGGGCTATGTGGACAAAGCTCCCACGGCTTTCTACATTCTCACACAAGTGTGCACTGCCGTGAGGTCACTCAGACACGGGGCAAGTTCACGTTCTAGATTTTTAGGAGGAAAGACCAGTGGCAAGGCACTAGGTTACAGCTTAAGCTGTGACTTCATAAAAAAGGCTGACCAGTGACAAGGGCAGCCAGTTCCTGCATAGGTCATCCTTCTCCCCTCCTCACCCCAGAGAGGTCCAGGGAAGAAACCAAAGAGTAAATTTCCTTTAGTGAAGAATCAACTTTCCTGTTTTAGACTGAAGGACTTCTGGATAATTCCAAGGAGAGCAACACACATTTTCCCCATCGGACACAGCACCGACTGTAACCAGCAAGCACACTTCCCTCCCTCAGCGCCAGCGTGCCGGCGACTTCCTGACACTCTGTGTTGCAGAGGCCGCAGGCGGCCAGGGGCCTGGCTCCGGAGCAGGGCGACGCATCAGAGCTCCGAGAGGAAGACCTCACTTCCGCAGCACCCCGAGCTCCCTGCACGACTGACTGGCTCTTGTGCCTCTCTCTCTCCCTTCCAGCCAAATCTCTTGGCTGTGGGAAAGCCAGCGTCAGGACAGCGTGTGGCCATTGTCCCTTCTGCCAGCTGCGCCGGGAGCGCCTGCTCTGTCCGCATGTCTGCCTCCTCCCACGTTCAGACAGGAAACAGCTGGGCAGTGGGAGAGCTGCTGGCGTGACAGCACCCTCACCTGATTTATGACGCGTTCTTTCCCTCTCTCCCTCCTACGTGCTTCCTCCTGCCTCTCACCCAGGACTTGGGAGGTGCATTGTGCCTGTGTCGTCTCTGCCATGTCTGAATGACAGTGGCACCCACCGTAGTCCTCCAAAGGCTGGGCAGTGGCGGCGGCTTAGCCGGGGCTACTCTTGCGGATTTCTACTTGTGGTGGCCCCAGGCACAGAGAAGGCAGAATAAGCTTTCCTACTGGGGTTTTAGCTTGGTTGGGCATAAAAAGTCACAGCAATGCAAATGCCACAGCCAAGGTTCTTGTTGCCACAAGACACTGAGACTTGGATTTACCCAAGCAGTGCTGACATGAAATGAAAAGTGCCTCAGAAGACAGCTAAACAGAAAGTACTTAAAAAGTAAGGAGATTTCTCCCAGTTTGAATTTAAATATTTCTATTGAATTTGAAATCACAGTCATCCCAATTGTACTTTAAAATATAACAAATGCTAAGAATATAAAAAGATCTTTACCATTTCTTTCTCTACCAGGATGGTTCATTTAACTTATCTCCACAGTCTGTTTCCCTACATTGGATGTACGTAACTTATTTATGATCCTTAGTCATTTTGCATGGTTGGGGGCCTCCTCTGTCCAGCAAGGACCACAGAGAGGAGAGAAGTCAAAGCCGGTTTCACGCCAGGCTGGCCTCCTTTCACTCCAAGCCTCAGGGGCCCGTGTTACAGCTGCCTCTGACCTGCACACAAAGTCTCCACTGACGGCGTGGAGGACAGGAGGGAAGCGGGGACACACAGCCTGTGCAAGCCAGAAACCATCACTGACGTTCGCGCTCTTGGCTATCCTACTAGGCTGGGCTGGAACTACGCGTTAGTGCCCTGTGGCTTAGCTTCAGACGCTGAACGACACACCACTTGATTTGGCATGTAGCTTAAGGGACAGTCATTTGCAACAGATGCCTCAATTTCCAAGGCATCAGCTCATCGAAAAGGGTAGGTTTAAAATTGCAATATATTTTCAACACTAGGAGAATCCAGCCATTTCTTCAAAGAAATAGCATGTGGCAGAAACTGAGATGTCAACATGAAATTAGCTGCTTAGTAGAATTACAAAAAGACAGTATCACGATGCCAAAACAATCCTAGGGTCCTCTCTTGACAGCTGCTAGAGGAACATGGCCCAATAAAAAAGAATAAATCCAAAACGGGCTTTTCATAACCTTCCTTAGTTTGAAAAATCTAAATGACTTAAGATTAGTAAGAACACGGACTTGTGGATTAAACAAAAGAAAGTGAATTCATTAGGGCAGGATGGGAGCCCACCAAGCACATGCCTGACACAGGTCTACTCCCTGCCTCGATGCTCCCAGGACAGCACTGTCCACTCACTGGGAGCAGAAGGGATGAGTCTGAGGCGGGGCTGATGGGTGGGGAAAAGGGGGTTGTCTGTTCCAAGAAACAGCAGCAGATTGATTTGGGGGCCTGTGCAGCTGTGCCAGGCAGACAGGTGGATATGACTTTAAGAGACTGGAAGGGCCTAGGTCAACATAGACCAGTAAAGAGACTTGCAATTTGGCAAACTGGCCACATCCTTCACCAAATCTTCTTTGGAAGCACCTGTCACCCAACCTCCAGTGATAGAATGACACACACTGGGCTTGCTGTTGCTCAAGGCTGCTGCCAGGCCTGCCCTGCTGCAGACCCATCCGTTCTACTCTGCCGTCTCTGCATTAGTGAGGCTGCCCCTTCACAGACATCTGCTAGCCTCAGGCAGCTCCTTCTGCTAATTTAGGACCATGAGAAAAGAGCCTCAAATCTTTCAACATGGTACAAGGCCAGGCCCTTGAGGTCAACATGTTAGAGGCTGGCTTGGTTCCTCTCTGCCAGTCATCTGAGCCCTTGTACCCATGTGGTTCAACTCAGGGTCCCCTGTCAATGTCACAGGCTGACGGATTTGTGCAGTGGAGGGTGTGCATGAAAGAGAGCCCCTCTGGTTCAAGAACCTCTGGTCTAGGTCCCCCTGGGAGTGAGAAAGGACAATGTGAGTGTGGCCTGGTCTAAGGCATCAGGTGAGGTGGGGTGAGATCAAGGACCACAAAGTAGTCCTAAGGAAAACACACACTAACTTCCAGCTCTGGCCAGGTGGCCTTTCAGTTTCAAATCCTGTCTGCCCATCATGAGTTGTCTTACAATTTCTGCACTTAGTGAGGTTAGCTCTAAAAAAAACTTCTAAAACAGTGTCATTCGCACTGTGACTGAGAACAGGGCTTGTCAACGTTGAGCTAGAGGATTCTAAAATTTAGTTTGCTCACTTCAACATAAATTACAAAGACAAATTTTAAAACTATCGTACACTAAAAATAACAAACTACTCCTCACACACTCAGTATATCTTGTGGTGACAAGAACATTGGCTATGGCATCACGTTGCTGGGACTTTATGCTCAACATAGCTAACGCCCTCGCAGGAGAGTTTATTCTGTTTTCGCTGACTCAATCGTATCATCCCCGAACCGTGGTCACGGTGGTATGGTGACAACGGATGTTCCAGGGGGAAGCCTACCATCTTTCTGGCCACAAGAACAAGAGGAAGGAGCTGTTGGAGGTGAGGAGGGAACCTAAAAGGCAGACAGATAGGGGAGGGAAACCTCAAATTCTGTGTGTAAACTCCACCCAAGACTCCAGTTGGCTCCTTAATCACACATGTGTGGGGCAAACCAAAAGCAGTTCAACTAAGATCTGAGCTCCCGTCAATGCAGGTGTGACCAAGTTGATAGTTTTGGTCTTACCAAGTTAACTGTCTGCCAAAGCAAAATAGTCAACATTAGTTGGATGAATATAAAATGGAATCTGGAGTCCTAAAACAACATTCATAATGTCCAAAATTGAATCTAAAATTATTCAATATATGGGGAGCATTCATCCTCAGGGGAAAAAAATTAATAGTTACCAACTCAGATAACCCAGATACTGGAATTATTAGACAAAGACTTCAAAAGCAGCTATTATAATTATACTCAATTAGGTTAAAAATGCTAATAATGAATAAAAACATGGAAAAGCTTAGCAGACAAGCATAAAATATAAACAGAACCAAATGGAAATTACAGAGCTAAAACATATAATATCTGAAATAAAAAATTTAGTGGATGAACTTACTAACAGTCTGGGAAGACGGAGGAAAGAATTAGTGAACTCTGAAATTAGACTAATGCAAATGATCTAATCTCAAAAAGAGAAAAAAGGTAAAAGGAATGAGAATAAGATGCAAGACTCTGTGGGGCAACTTCCAAAGGCCTAGCAGGTAAGC